ACACGCCACTTGCAGTACCTACTCAACAAGAATGTTTAATAGATCGCTTGTTATACCTATACCTATAACTGTAGCAGACTAACCTGCGTGGCTGCGTCGATGATATGCGTAACAATGTCAAAGAACATAATAATATCATTGGTACATTACTATGAATAAAACTGAAATTTTGTTTATTTCATCAGAAAGTATCTCAAATATCTTATGAATAACCAAAAAGAAATTGTGTGTTAATGTTACGAAAAATAACTGTCGTTTGCCATTTTTACTAATTGAGCCACACAGAAAGTTAACATACATTACAGTGATTATAATATAGTTATAGTAAATAATCATGTGTAATGAGTACCTATCTACATATTATTTATAATATCGGTCAATTTAAAATATAAGTTAAAACATATATTATAATATATTACACTCATACCAAATAAAAAAAAAACGTTAACTATACATTTTCTAAAAAAAAACACGAATTTTTTTAAACAATTTAAAATTAGGTACGTATCTAAAAACCTTATGCACATAATAATTGTACACTGCGTGTCGTAAATCACAAAACATTTAAGTATAGTTTCACCTTTACCATTATATTATAAAATGTAAGTAATAGGTAGATTGAATTTACAACACCAAACTTGTAATTATCCGATACCTATACTACGTATAATCAATGGTTGGAAAAACTCAATTGTTTAATGTATTTTACTTTATAATTATTTCACTAAAACATCTCGTTTCCTTCATTGACTATAATAGTATAGCCAGTATAGATAACGACCTACCTACATAAACTACCTATTGCGTATAACTTGTCGTCTCGAACTTAACTTTCTATATTGCTTTTAGATTATTAGCCGTATTAGTGTTATGACTGTTTTTAAACTCAATAACTTAGAACAAAGAACTGCAGTGGTCGGAGTAGTCCAATTAAATAATTGCACCTATATGGTTAACAAATGCTATGCTTTGATAACTTCATTAATTTATTTTACGTTACATGCTATTAACCCTAATGCATATTCTAATTTTGGTAATAAAATGTTAATCGAAGAAATTATTCTGAAATATAATTTTAGTAAGAAAAATGTAAAGATAATAATTTTTATAGACATTAAGGGCTGTTTCATGTTTGACCTCAATTTAAAGTGTATGATTTACAGGATTTATAGGTTTAAGACAAATTATATACATATCTATGGTATTAAAAAAAAAATTGACCTATAATAAATTCCAAATTAATCATATCACATTATCACAATATCCATTAGGTACTTATAACACGTTATACATCAACATCAATAACAAACCCTGATACTATCATAGATATATAATAGTACACTTTAGAAGTTTCAAGTAGGTACCCACGAATAATATTATATAATCACAACAAAATAACTAGGTTTTTTAATATGTAATTTCGTCCAAATTTGAACATAAAATGACTATAAAATAAACTGTGATTGTATATTTTTTAGATTTTTCGGTAAGAGAATTAACTACTTACGTGGAATCTTGTTTTAAATTTTCAATCCTTAGCTATAAAAACTGAACATTTTATAATTTATTAATTACGATGATTAATAATTTTCGAGATTTTGAAAAATTCTGTCAAAATTCGATGTTTAAATGCTTATAAAAAAAATTGTGCCTATGTATTTTTAATATTTTTCAACTGATATTGTAACAATATATCAGGAGCCTTGTATTAAATTTTTACACTTTTTGGCCTAACAGATAAAACTTTATTGATATTCATAGAAAAAAAAACTAAAAAAATTGAAAAATGAAAATATCCGTAAATAGCTCAAAAAGAGTCAAAATATTTTCAAAATTGTATAGTGTATAGGAAATACTAATATAAACATTCAGTGAAATTTTCATGTATCTATAGTTATTCGTTTATGAATAACAACAAAATAAGGAAATCGCTACATGAGAAATCGAGTGAACATCCAATGTTGTAAAAATTTGAATTTCAATAACGCTCATAAAAATTTAATTTGACTGTCCGGTAGAGATTTTTTTATTGATAAATGTAGACAAATTTATGAGTAATCTTGTATTACATTTTCAAATCTTAGATTTAAAAAGAAAAATTTTTACGAATTCTTAACTCAAAATAATTTGCTAATTTTCGTGATTTTTTCATATTTTGTCAATTTTTGAACTTTAAAGGCTTATAAAAAAAAACTGCGACGAACGATTTTTAATATTTTTCATCTGCCTTTGAAACAATATACTAGGAGCCTTCTATTAAATTTTCAAGTTTTTTTAACCAACAAATAAAATTTTAAAATTCTGAGGGGGCTTAGTCCCCTCTAGCCCCCCCCGATTTCCACCTATGTGTCATAGATGTATTTTACTTAAAAGTTTAGAATTCATTTTTCTCAATTAAATTCACAAAATAGTATCAGTTTACGGTCCAACATATATATGGATATTGGATACTGTTAACCACTATATTATTCTCTCAGTTTTAAATATTCAATAGCATACTTCTTTAAGGTGGACACTTCCCATGAGTTTCACAGAAATAAGTTATCTATTCCTTATTATTTATTTCTAATTTTTTACTTTAATATCATACGCTTCTAATTGTGATTTATTTTACATACCGTCATGTGGGCACACGAATTACGATCATCCCAGCTGAGCTTCTTAACACGTTTAGGGATAGCCTCGGTGGGCCAATGGGGCATTCTGGAAAATCTGCTCACTGGACTTGGCGTGGCTGTGGTCGTAGTGGTTGAAGAACCTGCAGGTGATCGGCCACCACCTCCACCACCCCTGGGTACTTGAGGTGGAGCCGGTGCAGGAAACTTGTGCCTAGATCTAGGAAGTGTTTGCTGTACTGCTCCCATTTTGGCTCGACCATTTCCATTAGTTGTTCCAGGAAACATTCTGGTTGCTATGATACAATTATAAAAAATATGGAAACAGTAAGTCATTATTATATTATATTAATCGAACATATCAACAATTCGTATTTCACATGATAAATGTGTTTGATCCTACAATAATATAGTATTCTAGAGAGTATGGCATTATTTGAATACATTTTTATTTGAATAATCATCTAAATACAATTTTGTTCAAATTCATTTTTTATTATTCGAAAAGGTAATTTTTAAATTCAAAATAAAAATATATTCAACTATAATTTTAAAGTATAATAAATTATTTGAACAAAAACCATTTATTTTTATATGAATTATTAAAATAAACAATTGTTCTCAAATATTTTTTTATTAAAAAACAAGGTTTTAAAATTATCTAAATATATGTAAAAGTAAATATAATAATCAAATGAAAATTTTATTTGCTCAACTCTGGTGTTATATAATTTAAATTTCAGGTCATAAGATTATGTGGTTAAAAATATACAAACTTTTAACTGTCGCAGTGTATAAAGGATCGGCAGAGTCTTCTTTTGGATTGAATAATGGGTTTTGCATTTTGGTGCCGACTCCAACTAAACGTTTTTCGTCATATATTGGATTGGTACGTTTAAAACCTTCAAACTTAGTGCGAACGTCGAAATTCGTAGCAGTGCCAAGTTTCGGTTGTTTGCTAAGAAAATTATTAAGTGATAAATGAGTCAAAAAATGTTTTTTCTAGTGAATCAAATCAAATACTTTTTTTGAATATGAACGATCAATGCTATTATAACTAAGCTGAGGACGCCCAAAATAACTCCAAATATCACGAACACTGTATAGCTATTAGCAGATGTCCGACCAGCAAACCTGACAATCGTGTCTGGCAAATGTACAATGACGGGCACCGAAGCCTATAAAAAATATAAAACATTAAACAACATGAATTAGAAAATATAAATCGGGCACCTACTTGTCTCGGAGGAATTCCAGTGTCTGTAGCTACAGCAACTAGATGTGCCGTGGAAGTATTAAGATCTGATAAATCACCCAGTACAATGTCTCCCGAATCTTCAATAGCAAACATTCTAAAATATGAACAAACATTAATTTCAACTACAATTTCAGAAAAATAATCTCATTTACTATTTTTGATGTGGATTAGTTAGTTATGTATTAGGTTTGATAGGTACCTAGTGTGTTTAAATAATTTTATGTATACTCATATATACCTAGATTCCGGTCCTCGAAGTGCTAAAGTAACACGATCGCCACGATCACCATCTGCAGCTTCCACCTTACCAACCACCGTACCCGGTAGCAATTGAGATAAAGATATATCTGGCACATAAAACTCGTATTGTGGGTATCGGAATCTCGGATCCCAATCGTTAACGTTCAGTACGGTGATGTTGACGAACGCAGAAGTGTTCTGAAAATCACGGTTATATGATTTTTTTATGGAAATAAACAGCCAACTAAATATATATTTATGCATTTGAGGAGCCCCTGTCACTTCTTATTTTCAACTCGGAGCCGACAGATCACTCGAACGAAATTGTTCAACTCAAATCCTTATTGCACACTAAAATTTAAGTGGATGAAGAACCTCACACACTTAGGGTCATTAGGACAATGTCAAAATTCACAAGAGTATGGTAATACTATAGTATTTATAATCAATGGCAATAGTGTAATACTAATACATATTCTAGATATTATTATAGCCCTTGATGTGTACACTTGTAATCTGCCCGCAGCAGTCCAAACTCCCGTTAATACTTAATGAGATGTGCCCTCTGTTCAGGTAACCACCCAGCGAAATACAAGGAATGCGCTTTTGCATGAAGGTTACCCCTATACTATTTCTATAAGTTAAATAATATCTTACAGACCAGCATCAAATATATAGCTATAGTTAATGCTGGAGTTCCTCAAGACGGTATTCTTATACATATTTATGCTTCCGATCAACCCTCTATTCAAAATACTCTTGTCGCTGACTATGCCAATGACTAATTTATATTAACAATACACAATGATCCATTAATTATCTCAGCAAATGTACAAACCCATTTAAATCTACTTTCATGTATCCATAACGTAACTTAACCAAAACTAGTCGAATTATGGGCAAAACTGAGGAAGACGACCAGACGGAACACACGATATTAACACAATATGACGTATTATAATAGTATTATAAATTATGCTCTTGTTGTAGTCTAATAGGTATAAATCAGTAAACTAATGCAGTATAAATATATAATATAGACAGGTGCTAGTTTGTTTCATATGAAAATTCATCGTAACATTATAATAATAAGTAATGTTATTATAATATTTTTTAATAGTATCGGATAGGTGGTAGGTACCTACCATAAAACTGTCGGTGGCAAAAGCATAAAACACATAATTGTCAATCGTTTCGTAATCCAGTGGTTTTTTCAAAACGATGTCGCCAGTTGATCGATATTGAAAATATGTCCGTATAGTTGCTCAGCCAATACTTCAGCCGCTTGTCCTTTGGTTTGTTAGTGATCACGGTCAGCAGGACGCTTTCCAACGGCACGTTTTCCAGCACTCCTGCCTGATAGTGGTCTTGTAGAAACTGAAGTTCACGAAGTGACGTACCCGGTCGGCTTATAGCCAACGTGGCCAGTGCGTAACGATCGGCGTTATCGAATTGTGTGGCCTGAAATACATAACATTATTTTTTCAGGTCAGTGGTGTATTGCGATACGGTAACCCATAGACGTAAATAGAGGGTGGGGAGGTCTGGGGGTGGGGCTAAGGCGCTAACTAAAACCTGAAGATTTTCGAAGAGTCTGGTATAGACCTGAGTTTCAGACCACCATCCCACAAATCCCAAACACTATTTACGACTATAATGCGGTAACTGAGCGTCTTTGGCCTTTGCAATACGGAGTTTACTATAACATACTCGAATGACCATGGTGACAGGTTGCAACAAATCGTCTTCTGGAATGGCACGTTTAACGGTAACACTACCCGAAACTCTGTCCAGTTCAAAGTATCGAGAGTCTTGAGTATCTAAATTATGACATTACCAAAACAAAAATTGAACTTTTAACGTATACCAATTATTCATATTAAATCAATTTTCAATAGGTACTAACCAGAGTTCAGAGTGTAAAATATATTAGCGTTTATTCCGAGGTCTTGATCGTATGCAGCAATTTCTCTTGGAAACACCCTAAGTTTTGTGCCCTAGTTATGTGGAAAATAAAAAAATAAATACATGATATTATATCGCAAAAAATATAACTAATAATTTTGATCATTCCTGCAGTGAGTTTAATGCATTCACGAGTGTTTAATTTGTTATTACATGAAAGAAAATATTAGCTTTGTAAAAATGGTCTTACACATTATCAGGGCTAGAGACTTCTAGCACTAAAAAACCATAAAATAAGCTCTGTAATATGCACTATAATATGACCAATAAAAAAATGTAATATAATCTAAGAAAATTAAGAAAAAATTATTTTGATTAATTCTAATAAATTAATCAATATTAAAATTAATCAATAATATATTATTTAATATTTATAATTTAATTCTAAAAAATTAGATTTTTAAGATTTTATAATCGTATAAGACTTCTAAAGATTTAACATTTTACTTTTGTGAAATAGCATTTTTTCAGATTAACAATATCAAATAATATGCAAAAAATAGCAAGATACTTATAAAATTATAGCAGAAAAAATGCAAAAACCCTAAAATATGCAATAAAAACTTTTAAAGCTGCATTCCTTTTAGTATGAAACGGATATGTAGCTTACTCCAAGCCTGGGATTTTAACTCAGTTAAGTTAAATTAATGGAAAACATTTTAAAAAGTTTAAAGTTAATAGTTAACCTAATTTTTTTTTTAACTCAGTTAGTAAGTAAAGAGTTATATGAACATTTTCAATTAACTTATTAACTTAAGTTAAGTTAAGTTTTTTTTTTTTATATAATATATCTATACAAATACCCAACCCAGTAATATGTTTAAAATAATAAAAATCATAAATATTATTGAACACAGGAAATAGCCAATACCTTTTCTATATATAGGTACTGAATTAATAGAATTATGTAGTAGGTACGAAAAACATACAAAATTAAAATGCCGAAACAAATACAATCTTTTGATTCATTAATACAGATAAGTATTATCAATATTACACAGACCAAGTCTCCAGTTAGAGTAGACTGAATGTATTAGGAGAATTAAAAATTAAATAATATCATATTATTTATTAGTTATTAGTTATTACTTATAAGTTATTAGTATTTATTAATTATTATTATTACAATATGCCCTTATGCCGCAGTATGGTATGGTTTATCTTTATATATACGATACACCTATTATATGGTATAATAATATAATTGGCTATTTCTATATCCATATGTATTTAATCGAGTTATTTTTCTTGAAGAATTCTGGTTAATGGAACAAAAAATTAATTAAACTATTTGTAATTCCCTATTCTAGTAAATGGTTATGTAATATCAATAATAATTTTTATTTTCATTATATTTATTATTTAATTTTTTTTTATATAAATTAACTTAACTTGAATTTGATTAAAAGTAACTCGTTATTTATTAAGTTTATATCGAATAAAATAAGTCAAGTTAAAAATTAAGTTAATGAAAATTAAATTTTAAAAGTTAAGTAAAAGTTAAAATTAACTTAACATTTAACTTTTTAACGAGTTTATGCCCAGGCTTGGCTTACTCTGCTCTATTTTAACATGCTATAAATAAAAATGCAAATGCTGGAAGTCTCGAGCCCTGTATATTATTATAATACTACAGCGAATATCAAAAAACGTATTTCATATTTTTACCCTTTGAAAATATTGACAACAACTTATGTTTGAAATATTTTTTTTATTTTGTAAAAAAATAATATTAATTTATTGCATTATTGCAAATTAAAAACGTTTTGCTATAATACACAGGTGGTTTTAGATCGCACTAAATTCACGGCCTCGGTTATGATCACTCTATTGAAAAGTTTTGGTGTTTAATGTTCGTTACTTTGACAGCACTATCAGGTAAAGTAGCAGTATATCTTTCGTCGTAAAACTTTGGATTTTGATCATCTGCATCAATAATGTTAACAAATATGACTGTATCTGTATATTGCGGTGGATTGCCTTGATCCTAAAACAAATAAGTCCAGTCAAAAATATCGTACGAAATTATTGTATGCCATCTTATGTAAGTACAGTATTATCTGTCATTATCAGCTGTAGTTGTAAAATTATACCTGTGCTCGAATACCGATGGTAAAATTTGAAAGGGTTTCGTAGTCCAACGCTTTTCTTAACACCAGGGTTCCTTCTAGGCCATTGACGAAAACGAAAAAATCCTGTAATAACCGTCATAACATTAACTCGCAATTTACTGTACATTTTAGATCTACCGTGCGTCTAAATATAAACTACCTATACTCAGGCACGGGTCCAGACTCTATGGAGTCTAGAGTGAAGATCTGTGAGAGGTCAGTGATTTAAAACGTAATTATATATCAGGTAAGACATACACGTTTAACTTAAATATTTTGTATTATAAAAGTGTCACATGTTTTATCAATGTTTTTTTTATATACAATTTATTTATTAACAATTTGAAAAAAAACCATCGATATACTATTGTATACTTCAATTATTGAATCAAATTAAATGCAATTTTTCAGATGACCGATGGTAAAATCGAAGAGTGTGTTTATGGTGTATTTGAGGGTGCAGGGGTACTGGGGCATGGCCCCTTACCCTATCTCACTGTATGTCCCTTTATAGTTAAGTGATAGGTATCTAATATCTATACTATGTACTATAATATTATTATACTGATGTCATAAAAATCGTTCAATCTATTTTCAACTATATATACAATTTTATATAGGTGCGAGGTGTCCAGCTCGTTTACATACATAATAAATACGTAGGTATAACATACCTCTAGGATCGTTTTACTCCCACCTAAGAAAATTGGCTGCACAAATTACACAATCATCGTAATAAAATATAATATCTCGAGCAAAGCGTTTACGAGTCGGAGAAAAAAAATTAAATATAATAGGTATTATTTTCGGAGGGTATATAATATATAAACATATCATATCATATCAAACAAGCCACGCGACACATAGGTTAATAATAAATAGGTACATTATTGTAAGGTATTCATGTAAAATAATCTATATATATATAAGGACGAGTTATTCTGCTGTAACAATATTCGAATAAAACATTTATTATTATAATGTTGCGTGTCGGTTCGATAAACAATAAATAGTTGTTCGACTTACCGAATGCGGTCCCGGAAGCACGGTATAGTGTACGGTGGAAAACGGTCCGAGTTGATCGGCGTCGACGGCTTTGATGCCCTGCAACACTCTGGTCCCGACCACGGTCACCTGTAAATGCGTGGAAAATTGGTTGAAAACAGAAATAGGGTAATAATATATAGGTATATGTACTCAATGGCTAATACAGTAAGCGTATAAATATATAATGAAAAACAAAAACAAATGTTTCAAATCAACTAATTCATACCTCTGATATATTGAGTACGTAAGGGGCATTGACAAATATGGGAGCGTTGTCGTTGGCGTCGGTGACTCGAATGCTCACTGGAATGGCGAAGTTCTGAAACACACACGAAGTTAGATACATAGTATGATATTATTATTATTATTGGGTTTATTCTTCGTCGGAAGTCCAAAAGCGGAATTATGTTTTGTCTCAATCGTATTATAATAATATAATAATTATAATTAGTGTTATTAGGATATACATTCAGTCGTAGGCACAATTAAGGTAATTTTTTGTTGTGGGGGGGGAGGGCTAGAATTGTATCAGCAGCATGATAGACCTTGATATATTTATATTTTAAACTTAAATATGATTAAAAAATTGGGGGCTATATGGATAAAACTGGGGGGGGGCTGCGAAATCCCACCCTGGTTGCGCCTATTCCTACAGTATGATCTTGTATCTTTTTATGATCTTTAGAGTATAATTTTTCAAGCACATGGTACTTATAATATTATAATATGACGTATATGATTCAGACATATACGAATTAATAAACCTATGTGTAAACCTATATAAACCCTTATTTTTTAGTTTATGTTTATTTTTCTTGTTTTGATCAAATGTGTTATGTGAGAATTTTAGTTATTTTATTTTTTATTTATGTTCGAAAAAAATTGTAACAAACGTTTTTCCTCAGTGGATATAATTCGTACAATATTATATATAACGACTATATTACTATATAGCAATATTGTACCTGTTATAGTATAAGATTTATTGGATGCAATATAATATTATAAAATACTGATTTTTATTAGTAAACGTTTATAGCTATTGATGTATATAGTAAAATTGTTTTTACTTTACTCGATAGCGTGTTAGCTAGGTATATTATTCGTAAAATATAATAATGACACGATACTACGATAGGGACGTATAGTGAGTGTTGACGCGCATATAAGTGCTTGCGTTTAATATTTATATTTTAAACATCAAAATATTATTATGTTTAAATTTTATATATTTTGTTTAATATTATAATATTATACATTTAATTTTTAAGACATTTTTTTATATGGGGAATTTTTCCATTTTGCTTTTTTATGTTTCTTGCCTTATATATCTATTTATTTTATTGTACATGCTATATTAATATAGGGGGATAAAGACGCTTTGGTGTAAGGAGAGGTATTTAATTAATTAAAGCTCAACCTGATGAAAAAAACAAATTTTGAAAACTAATAAAACAAACCAAGCGGGGTTTAGTTACACAGTACATATAATACCAGTAGCTAGGGACAAACTTACAAATAGGGACAAGTCTTACAAAAGCTGTGTTCCTTACCGCGGTGCACCAAAAAAGTATCCTATAAGTATAAATATCTATCTATAAAATGATGTTATTGTGGTGTGTGTGGGTTGTCCCATTTACCATGGTAACAATATATATTTTTTGAATTCCGTCGGTGTTGTGTCCTTTTTCCATGGTAACAGTTAATATATTTTTTAATTTCGAGGAATGTTTTGTATATAAATACAAATAGAGTTGGCAATTTTAATGGGCAACGAAGTGCACGGGATCAGATATTTCTATATATATATATACAGGGTGTAACAGATAGAACTGACTTTTGGAATAACTTTTGTTATGATCATTATTTTTAATTTTTTTTTTATATATAATTTATAGCCACTTGTTCTACACGTGTAAGAGGAAAAAAATTTTTTTATTTTTTTATACTAAAAATAAAAAATTTTAAATTTGACTTAAATTTTTTTGAATAAATTCAAAATAGCAAACTTGTGAATCTGATTTTAAGAACGATTTGGATGGTAAAAACATTTATCTAAGTCTAGTAGTTTATTTTTTAGAATTTTTTTAAATATCAATATTTTTTTGATAAAATAAATTTGGAACGCAATAGCTTTTTTAAAAATATTATTTTTGGAAATTTTATAACATGGGTATATTCTTAAAACTATTTACTAATCATATAATTTCAACAATTTTTGTCATACATTTAAGTAGCATCAATTTTTTTTTTTTTTTTTGGTCAGTTCTTTCTGTTACACACGGTATATATATATATATATATAGATTAGACCTCTGGGTAGAAGATAGGCTAATATAGAAATTGAGAGGACCAACCACGGTAGGTGCTCAAACAGGGATTTTGATATTTCCTATTATGGACATTTTTGTTTATAAATGGTTACCATGGGTTTTGAAGCTATTATAATAATATTTATTGGTTGCCGGGTAACGAAGTACATGGGATCATTTGTAACAGAAATAGGTTAGCTCTCTGGGCAAAAGATAGGCTAATTTAAAAGGGGAGAAGACCAACTACCGGGACGTGCTCAAACAGGGATTTTGACATTTCCGATGGAAATGTTTGTTTATAAATGGTTGCCGTGGGTTTCAAAGCTATAATAATAATTATTATTGGTTTAAAATTGTTGTTATGGTAACCGTTATATTATAAGAAAAACATATTATTTATAAAATAGCGTTGGTATTTTTAATGGGCAACGAAGTGTACGGGATCAGCTAGTATATAAATAAAAATAGAGAAAAAGAAATGTTCAATGACAAAGAAAATAGTATTATAATAATATTATAGCAACGTGGACTTACGGGATCAGCTGTATGTTTTCGCTCGCAGATCACATTTACGTAAACGGAAGATGGTCCGGAAATACCCTGCAATGAAGGCACGTAAGCATAATATTAATATCATAATATTGGCATAATACTAAGGTATTAGCTGAATATCAATTATTGGTATGATGATAATTTATAATGATTTAATATACTTCTTTATCCAATAGTTTGGTCAGGCTGAGTTCTTTTGTACCGGGTAGGATGGCGACCGGACTGTCCACCTCTTTCAGTGATAAATTTATGTTTCCAGTTTCGGACGTGTCTCCGTTTATCTTCAAAACGCCTGTAAGAATCGAGGTAGTTTTAGTTACGTTACCGTAGTTTTAATGATATTATTACAAAAATGTAAACATAAATTGGTCATACCAATAATAGATCCGACTGGTACATCTTCGGACACGAAGAAGCTTTCGGCCGAACCTCCATTTTCCAAATAGCATCGATTGTCCACCACAGCTATAAAAGTAAAGTTTAATTAAATAATGAATACTCGGGAGTACATTAAAATATGAATTTTGTTTCCTTGTGAACAAATTTAAAAGTGTAAATACTTATATGTTATAATATTATGATATATTTTATTATAATTGGACATTATTTCTGATTGATGACCACTTTGCAGAGTTAAAGTATAGGTAGGATTTATATTACTGCGTTATATAACTTTATTATAACGGATCGAGGAATGCCTTAAGAGTAAAAATGGATAGGTATTAGTAATAAAATCCAATGAATTCAAATTCTTTTATTATTATTATTATTTTTTTTTGAAACCCGAGTAAAACAATGAGATGGAAAATGCTGCCTTTCGCCAACCGTAACGGAAGCATGTTCCTATGTACAGATGGTGAATAAGTATATAGGCAACAGGTGCCAGGTGGCTGTTGAGGAGCTCAAGTGTATCAGCGCACTACCTATATATTATAGGTTATGTTTGGAGTAACAGGAAATCCGTTTCGGATTTAACCGAACAAATCGCTACCGATGCACGCAAGATTCTCCTCACGGTGTATAACTCATAAAAGTACGGCGTTTCACGTCAGTTATATTATACGCACTTATACCATATAAATAATATTTGTATATATATATATATATATTAGGTTTGTATATGTGATTGTGAGTGTTATTTGGGGGAACGATATTTTTATATCTATATATAACGAATAACTACACCGTGACGTGTGTCGCTCGGGCTATTAGAAGTTTTCGTTAACTTGCGACGTTAACAAATAGATTTTTCTCTATTGCAGGTAAATTCCAGCACCATTGAAATACGTAATAGATTAATTGTGTTTGATCCTGAATCAGCCAATATGTTATAGGTAAGTAGGTATATCAGAAAATACAAAGAATTAAAAATATTATTCTTTTAAACGTGTAGACTGTAGGTACTTATAAATATGAATGAATACATTTAATTATTATTGTATTAGATATGTAGATACAATATTTTTTTTATTTTTTTTTGGTACAGCTTCAATAACTTAGGTTATTAGCTTACAAATATATTTAAAATTAATGCTACATATTATGAATAAATACATTGATTTTCCTAGATTGAGTTATATATTTGAGAAATAAAATGTAATTTTATAATAGGTAGGTATTCTACATTTGTCTATATCAGTAAAACAGTTTTTGTTCTTTTATAATTTAAAAATTCTTTGTGATGTTTTACGGTATTGTCTTATATTCACGATAAAATAATCACATTAGAAACCTACAAATAATTGTAAAGTACACAGAGGAACTCAACAAACTCAACATTCCCAACACCCTAGACGCAGCACTCATCCAGACACCACCATCCAAATTTAAACTTTTTTAAGAAAATCTGAATTGTTCGATTTAATTTAAATATTATAATTAAGAATATATACTTAATACAAATATTTTTCTTTATTATAACAGCAACAAGTAATGGCCGTTGTCGCCAATGTTTTGTTTTAGATCAATAAAAAAAATTTTAATGTACCTACCTATCTATTTCAGTTCTTGAGTGTTAATAGCCGTTAAAGTAATATAGGGATACCGATCGATTATTCTACATTTAAACATTTAATAGTAAAATAATTTTAAACCTTAAAACGTCCAAACCAACAGTAGGCAGGTATAGTTAGTGGCTGTTTTCGATACCTTTAAAAGTTTACGAAATTTACTATTTAGTTTTCATATGTATACCTAATGTAATGCCAGCAGAGTACAGACAATTTCAAATTTCCCAATGAAATATTTCAATAATATTAAAATACAAATTATTTTCAATACACTATATTATATTTGGTTTATTGGTCATCGAATTTTATCAAATTGCTTGCCACCGCCGTAAAATATAGGTACATATTGTGTGGTTTCACTCTGTTTCACATTTAACTATACATAATACATATTATTGTACTTTGTGTCTTTGTACATTGTACCTATAATATAATAATAATATGATGTGCCTGCAATAATTTCTACGAACCCACAAAAATGATGTGCAAAGTGAATAGGTATGCCCATAATATTATGATAGCCTTATATTATAATCTAACTCTTAGTAGGTAAAATATATATATATATATAACAACAAATGTTCTCGTAATATTCATTGATATAATATTATTATCTTAATTGCGTACATAATAGGTATATAATTTATTGTATTTAATTAATCAAGTTACAATTATTGATATTCACAATTTTTTGTTCTGCATAATATAAATATATTATTATAATAATATGTTCAGCATTATGCCGATTAGGTATACCGATAGTAACGTTGGCTTTTATACCTATTCTTTATTTATTTATTTTTCAATCATAATTTATATTATGGAGAATAGACAATATTAACATTCTAGTTATTTGCTACTCGCCCAGTGATTTGCTCGATTATTATTGTTTATTTTATAATAATAATATAATATAGTAAATGCGTAAATACATCTGATTTGAATTAACCTAGGTATAATATCACTAGTGGAAATTCGAAGATAATCGACGCATGTAAAAACCTCAGGACAAGTCACTTCTTGTACGTGGATAATACACTTAAACATTTTAATCTAATATAAGTAGAGATATATTAAGCTCTTAATAATTTTTTGTCCACTGTGTAAAATGTCGATCAGCTCCTGCTAAAGGGTTTAAATGCGTTTTTATAGCCTCACATATTATACCCATAATAATAATAATTATTACGTTTCAGCTACTATGTACACCTGATCGTTATATCGACGTTTATTTACTAAGATGATTTTTTTTTTTGACTGCAGGTTCATACAGATACCTATGGAAAACGTTGCCGCGAGAAACGACCATTTCAAATTTTCGAGTTTCACTAAAATGTTGAATGAAAATATTTATGGCTTGTAATTATATATATTATGCTAATTTGGCGACACGTACCTATACAAACAACAACAGCTATACATCAAAATACAGTAATAATACTGCATTAGTATATGTAGGTAGGTACACTTATGTAGGAGAACCGTTCAGCAATTTCGAGCCACTTGTTAAACGGTCGTGACGACTACCGTACCGTCAGATTTATCGCATACGCATAAATGATAATAACAATATGTATGTATATAATATTAAATATTATAATGGGTACCTACGTCTGAACATTATAACTTACTTTTCTAAAATAATTTTCACATGGACGTCGCGTCGTCGTATCGGACAATGTGAACGTTTCACGTTTCGTCGAAATCAAAGGATTATTTCGTGATCATCTCTGAACGCGTAATTGTTTAATGCATAATTCATTTTGTATAAGTGAGTGTTGTAGTATTATAGGTATGTGTACCCGAAATAATCGTATAATATATTATTATGTTATTGTTTTGTACTGAAGATCTGATTTTCCGGATACGGTGAATATCAAACACGGCGCGTAACGTATACGAAAAGCACACCCAATATTATTGTTTACATTTTATATTTTATAACGTCCAAGAAAGTGTCAAAATATTATGTTTGTTTAATATTTTTATGCTTTTTAGTGAAACGTGCAATAATGTCCTTCTCACCTCCTCAAATAGTAATAATAATAACTAAAATGGTATGTATATTATGATTTATGACATTCGTTAAAGGGATGTGGTTCAAGTTGAAAGTCAGCTATCTTTTGATTATTTATTCATTTACTATTTGTTGTCAATGTGAATTATTGAAATTATCACATTTTTTATTGAGATAGCCTATAGTCATTTTAATATAAAGTATAAACTTATTATTTTTACGGTATTAATTATGATACGTGACTCTAGAGAAAGAATTTTTCAAAAACATCATTATAGTATAATATAATGTACCTATAGATAGAATACACTGTGTTCTACAAATTCCTAAATCGAATAAGGGCTGTAAAGCTCGGGTTCAAATCTCTAGGTGGCCAGGGGCCGATATACCACTTGCAGGTCGTATGCTCCAGTCAATATCGTCCATGTTTGGAAATTCTAATATTATTGGCCGCATTGGCATACACATAATTTTATAATTACTCACTAGCTGTTATGAAATAATATCAGTAATATCACCGTTGATTAATGGTATCTATAGGTTAATAAAGTACCTAATTGTTAACAATTTAAGTATTTAAAAAGTTTAACAGTCGAAAACACTATATTTGGTAACTACCAGGTAGATGGTTCTGGACACGTATACATACTATTTTCAATATACGTATATACTAATAATTAATAAATTTATTTGTAATTTATTTTTCTCTAGTTTATCTTAAAATTAATTACTTTTCACAATAAAAATAACTTTAATGACCGCTTAATAAAATTTGGTATAATTATACGCAAGCCTTTTAAAAACCATTTGAGTTAAAAGATCCAAGGTATATGTACCTATATAATGTACATATCGTAAAATATTATAAACTATAAAGTCGTTATTGTATTAATTTATATGTTACTTATATTATATTAAGCTATAATTAACTAGTAGCTACAAACATTTGTTTTAGTTGTTGGATTGATTTATTTAATGTATAATTTAGATTCATAATAAAATATTATGACATACATAAATGAGGCGTACATTTTGACAATGGTATAATCCGTGTTTAGAAAAATATAATATAGGTATAAGGTACAATATAATCTGTAGAAAATAACCGTTTAACGTAAAATAACGTTTTAACCGATAAAGTGTAGTTTAGGGGCTAGCTAGGATGCTTCTTATTTTGATGAAAAAAAAGTTGAATATTTTTTATCCAGTACTCTCCCCTAATTTTTTTCATTACTATAAGAAAGTAATCTTAGTATAGGTACTATATATTTTATTAAATATATCAAATATATGTCATAAGATCGCCACAGTGAAGCTTTAATGGGTTTTTTCTATTAAAACCTATAAGTATATTATATGAACTGTAATAGTATTAAATTATATTCCAATTTTCACCATATCTATCTATATATAGGTATCTTTCAAAGGAAACGTTTACT